CCAATCAAATCAGAGCATCGATACACCGATTATTCTAGAACCCGATTTCCTAATTTGGTATATCCCCTGACTGTATTATTGAAACTTTTTAGAACTTGACCAAAATAATTTTCGCATATTAATTTAGTCTGATCTGTTCCTCCGAAGTTTCTTATAAGCCCTAGTTCTAATGATTGCACTGATTTGTAAACGTTTTATGTATCAGCATTATGAAAAGTATGTAATATAATCGATAATGAATAGTAAAAGATCTCACTTGTCAAGTCGGAGCTACTCAAGCTTTTTACCAATGCGTAATAATCGCGAAGTCCTAACCAGCAATAAAAGTTGAGTCTTATAATTTTATAGCATATTTATTTTAGTTTACCATAAAATACAAACTTACCATGAAAATTTTTATATTTTTGATCCTTTTCGTAATCAAGGTAGGCTTTAGCAAGTTGTCTGAGTATAGAGGTATCTATGCCATTTTTAGCTTTTTTATCGTTATCTAAAAGCATTTTAGCTGTTAAAGTAAGGTCATCAATGCCAAATTTTGGCCTTTGCACAAGCAACGCTCGGCTCGATTTACTGTTGTCCAGACGCCAATTACTAATACCAACAACTGATACTGCTGGACCATCCTTAGGATTTTCCTTATTAATTGACACGGACGGATCAACTTTATTAATGACTGATGATGATGAACCTTCCATGGGATCTTCAGTGTCTATGTCGAGAATTGGCTTTGATTGTGTTTCAACAACTGACGTATTTGGACTTTCAATAGAGTCATCTTTTAAGAAACCAGGCTCTAAAAGAGCGTGAAGAACTTTCAAAGGATTGAATCGGCTAGTTTCAGCTAGACCGACTTCATCGAGAAGGACAACAGCTTGCACAGGAAATGCCTCTGAGCTTGTTTTCTGATAATTTTCTGCTTTATCAAAAACTTTAAGGATCCCGGCTGAAGTTGAAGAAGCAGAACCTTGATGCGGTATAAAATATACCTTACAATATTTTTTTATTAGAATTATATGTTAGTATTATGAAAGTATGGAGGTCCCGAAATATTTACAGACAGGCAATGTATTACTAAAAAAGGAAAAAATATGTTAATGTTATAGTACTAACAAGGATTACTAAAAAGTAAAGATATATTGAAATAAGCACATTTAATATGTATGAAAACTAAAACCTTACTTACCTATTTATAAATATTTCGGATCCTAAAGTGTGTGACCTAAAACATTATATACAACTTACTTGTGGTAATGTTTTAAAATATTCATCATCTGATTCTGCTCCTCGAAGATTTGAGCTAATAAGTCGTACTGCCAAAGACTTTGAGCTGCAATAAATGAGTTTATAAAATTTTATGTGAGAGTTATCTAACCTGGTTTATAATTTATAACCATTATGATAATACCGACCTTCCGGGGGCTCCGATAATAAAAACAGGAATTCGATTCAATATGCAAACAATCATCACAAGAATGTTCTCCAAAAGAGCATCATTGTCTGCTGTAGATGGAGGGCAAACCATTCGTCGCATAAAATCTTCTTGCTCCCTACGAATTATCATTTGAAAATCTGAAGCATTAAGCCTTTCTTTATGTTCCGTAAAAACTTTTGCCATACACTCTCGATATCTTTTTCGCAAATCTTGATCATATAAGCGTGATTGATAGCAAAGGCCAAGTGATAGAACAAAGCTATTACGTATCAATGTTTTTTTGTCTTTTGGTGGATAGTCCCAAAATGGAAGGAAACGAGAGATACCACGAGGATGTGTTGCAGGTGGTCGTTCCTTCATACTTTTCTGGAACCATAAGGCCAGCTTTATTGCTCGTTTTACATCGCGAAGGCTGACTGTGTATGATTCTTCAACCATTCGAATAAATTTCTGTGATTCACAAAGCAAATCCACGAATATCGGATGTGCTCCTATCTGACTTTCCACCATGATTTTAATGTAAGCCTAGTAAAAATGCAAGAATTTATTTCTCAATTAGAAATCGAGATTTAGATTTTATTCATCCTATTTGGAATCACGTACCTTTTCTTCCTCAAGCTTAAGGACACCATAATCCCACACATAATCTAAAATTTGATCAGGTAGCGGGTGTACTTGATAGACCAATTTACATTAGTTACATTTTTTTTGCGTAGACGATATGGATTACATGCAGCAAACAGGCGAATATTATTATGTATCAATCTGCCTGATAAAGTTCTATGAGATATGAGGTCGGCAAGAAGTCCAATGTGATTGCAGGTATTGATCTCATCAAGGAACAGCCATATTTGGCCATTTTCTGCATGTCGAGTACTTGTTTCCATAAAATCATAAATTTGGTCCTCGCGTATGCCAGCATGAAGCGAAAGTACCTTGAACTTAACTTCAACAACTGCCGCTAGAAAACTAATTAGACTTGTCTTTTAAAAAATATTAAAACGTTAGTTAGGTTACTCTTGGTTCTTTTTCTTTAAGATGAATCTTAGGAATTTCACGCACTTTCCCACAACCCGCTTCACCGCATATAACCACTGGGATATTTGCTCGAGCTCTCAATAAGATTAATGCCATTTTAAGATTGTCGGCTGACAAAGCATAGCTGGGTAATTCCAGTTTACCCATCGATTTTCGCGCTATACCTTCTAATTTCTCCAATAAAGCACTTTCTGACATTGTATTATAGTCATCTAATTCCCAAATTTTTTGTTCTCCAGGTTGAGAAAAATCATTTTGGGAATTTCTTATATTTTGACTTCGTTGAGAAAAATCATTTTGGGAATTTCTTATATTATGACTCCGTTGAGAAAAATCATTTCGGTAATTTCTTATATTTTGACTCCGTTGAGAAAAATTATTTTGGTAATTTCTTATATTTTGACTCATTTGAGAAACATCATTTTGGTAATTTCTTATATGTTGAGACAAATCATTTTGGTAATTTCTTATATTTTGACTCAGTTGAGAAAATTCATTTTGGTAATTTCTTCTATTTTGACTCACTTGAGGAAGATCATTTTGGTAATTTCTTATATTTTGACTCATTAGCAGTTTTTTCACGTTTTGAGGGACATGTTTGCGGTCACGATAAAGGGCACAAATAGAATCCGGAGTTTGAGATAAAAAAAACACCACAAGATGATTAGAAGTGTCCCACTGAACGATGGTCTCAAGTTGATCATCATCAATATTTTCTATTAATTGTGTTGATTCTTGTTGTGTAGCGACTGAGCGTGTTGCAAAGTCCTTAGAGACATTGAGCAGAGTTTTTACTAGAGTTGTACGAATGTTTGTATCCTTTACCATAAGTTGAATGTTATTTACATTGAAAAATGAACTCAATGACAATCGAACTAATTGATCTGCAAATACATTCAAAAAGATTTCTACGAAACGATAAGATTTAATATCTTCTTCATTGCCGTCCAAAAAATATTTTTGCACTAACTCTTGACAACGTGCTGGATTCATAGGTCTTCTAACAGTTCTTTTTCCAGTGAACAAAATGTCTTTACTATTTAATTGTTGGCTTTCGTAAGCATCTAAATAATGAGACACTATTTGAATTGGACTAGATATTTCGGAAGAAACAATAAAATTTTTTATGTCCCATTTCAAATTCACACTTTGAAGGCATTTTGCGATTGGGATTGAATTTAGCAAACGCTCATTATTCGAAGATGCAATTTCGATGAACACAAGGCTTGGGAGGAAAGCAATGTCCAATTGGTTTGAAACAACTCTAAGTGTTAGAAACTCGAAAAGAAAAATATTGAGATTGTTAGGGTTATTGGCAGAAACGATGTTCAAATGCATGCATTCCATAGGTTTGAGATTGCACTTTTTTAACTTTTCAACTAATTCATCAAAATGTACGTCATCACCTATCAGTAAATTTCGAGCAATAAAATCTTTCTCTGCACTAGCATTCTTTATATATTCTGTTTTTCCTTGGCCAGACAAGTAAGAAGTAACACAAAATACATTTGAACAAAGTTCTTTGTACATATTTTTCATGGTATTTTCACCAAGACCGTTAGTGAAACGCACATGTTCTGAAAATTGATCAAGAATGTGATGACGAATTCCATTTTCTTGACAACAGATCAAAGTCAAGTAATAATCTGTTTCAGATTTCTGAAAATTGCGTAATTCGTTGACTAACTTGTATTGTAATTCGAATTCAAGAAATTCTAAACCCGCGATACAAAATAATCGTTCGTTATATCCATTTTTTGCGGCAAGGAAGCATCTTTTTATAAAAATTGAAATTTCTTCTTCAGTTGTATTTCTGCATATTAGCAATTGCCATGATTTAGGGTAGAATTTGTGATTTGCATATAGAGACATGATAATGTTTGGTACACGACTATTATCTGCGCACGCAGCGACAAATAATTTGCCTTGGTAAACTACATCCGAGACAATCGGTTCGAGTTTGGCCTTGATTGGCTTGGGATATTCAAATCTTAGCGTAATCATTTCATACAATTTTTGACCTATCTGACAGAGAACTTCATAGTAATTCATCTTGTCCATATCGATCATTATATCACCCCTATTTGGTAGTAACTTTGCTCGTTTGTTTACAAGTCGCAGTAATGACTCGCATGTCTCGCGGATTTTAGGATTAGCATGTCCTTTGCAGCTGAAATAATCATAAAATATTAAAATATTCCTAGCAGTATAGAAAGTTAGATAATAATTTTCCTCGTGTGCTCGTTGCATAATATGCTCCCTAATGCAAGTAAAAAAAAAAAGTAATTGTTGATTTATTGTTAAAATTTAACAGTCGTAGGGCATGTCCTAATGAAAATTATATTTAATTAAAAACTAAAAAAATTAAGAATGCGCCTTTGGAGCAGCACCCGGGTTGGAGAGCTAGAAAACTTAAATATTCTAAATCTTACAAGACTTAAATACTAATTAATTAAATAACAAAAATTAGAAATATTTAAAAACTAAAAAAATTGAGAACGTGCCCCCAGAGCAGCACCCGGGTCTGAGAGTTAGTTGATCTAATACTAAAGAGTAACCTTCATAACGGTCAAAAAAATTCTGACCAAATTTTTAACAGAGATCTCGTAAAGTTCCTTGCATAAGCGGGGGACTTTACAGATCTCTGTTAAAATTTTGGTCTGTTTTTTTGAATGCTACACAGGAGCCTGTAAAGCAGGTTTCTGTTTACATAATATCGCCTCAAATGCTACATGAGAACTCGCGAAGCGAGTTTCCATTTACATGATATACTTTCAAATACTACATGGAAATCCGCGAAGCAGGTTTCCATTTACATAATATATTCTGCGAAGCTAAGTATAT